GATTACCACAACACTCCCAGGCAGGGCAAACAGGCACCCTCCTGCACTCAGCCCACCCTTGGACCTGGATACGGTGTCAGTCAGCTTGCTCTTGTCCTCCATTGGAGCAGCAATGGCGCTTTCCCCCCACTTCTGTCCTGGGCGGTCCTAACAGCAGCGTCACGGCGTGTAGGTAGCAGAAAGGTGCGCATCGGAAGTGAAGTCAGCAACAAGCGCTGGAAATGACCCCACTTCCTTTTGATCGAGCTGGAACTCACGGCACGCCCCTCCCTGCGTTCCACCGCCGGGTATCCACCAGCACACGGCACAGACACCCCTGATCCACCAGACAGGGCACTGTCTGGGGCTTGAGGGTTTCTTCTTTAGGAAAATGGAGGGGAAAAAAAAGAAGGGGTACATGGGGGTACCCCTCTATCAACAGTGAGGCCCGGTTCCCACCTGGGCGTTTTTCCGCGTGTTCGTACGCGCAGAAAAACGCTCAAACAGGGAAATGCCATTATTTTCAATGTGCATGGTTCCCATCTGGGAGTTTTTCCACGAGTACGAACGCGCAGGAAACCGCCCTACGCCCAAAGAAGTACATGTACTTCTTTGGGGCGCTGGTCGGGCGTTTCCATTGGGATACAGCCAAGTAGCCCTCGGAAAAGCGCGTTTGTCGCACGTTTTTTTTACCGCGAATCGCTGTAAAAACGCACGACAAATGCACATATTCAATACACCTAGGTGTGAACCCAGCCTAAGGCCACAGGCAATTAAGTCCTGTAGAAAAAGGCCGACCAGTCAGGCAAACAAAATGTGACGAAGCTTCCTGGACGGTAGGAAACAAAGACACTGAGGGACGAGGGGGTGGAAGGGTATTGGACTGCTTTCTTAATTGTGTTTCCTGTAGAAGGAGGGGCCAATCTCAGGTTGCTGGCCTGGAAGATTGGAGAAATACTAAATATCTGAGTTTAAGCCTTCTATAAATATTATTATAGTCTGCATGTTGACCTGTATTAAATCCCTTCAATTATGAATTGGCAATGAGAAGGCAAGAATAAAGACCCGGCTGCCGTTTAAAACTTCCCCAAACGAACCCAAAATACATGTAGCTTGATTTAGAATTTCAGGGTCAGACACAAGACACACACCTACTACATTTATGTGTTTCTCCAGTCTCCTCAAACCTCGGAAGGCTTTGTGCTTCACCTCGCACACCATCTTGGCACCATGATCCCGGACAGACGGGGTGTAGGAAAGCTCAGACGTCATGTTGAACACTCTGCCACTTTTGGTAACGGAATGAGACGCGTGTCCTGTGATATCCTCAGCGGACAGCAAGGGCTCCATCACTGCAATCTTGGCTCCAGCTTCCTTCACGGACTTGTCAATATACCAGCGAATGTCAATGGCTCTGGGCCGGAACCCGCTTATATTACACACGGAAACCATCTTTTCCCCAGCAGAGTTCAGCTCTGGGATCAGCAGCTGGGACATCAGGGGAGGTACTGGGGGAAGGTATAAGGAATATCAAGAACACATCTCTAAAGATGATGCTGACCCAACAAATACTAAGTCAGGCCCATAGAGGTCTAGCTTTAAAACTGAAAAACTTACCTGCAGCATTTTTGGCCCATTAAAAAGGTATCTATGGCCAAAAACTCACTATTTATACACTGAGTGGCCAGATTATTATGACCACATGACATTTGTAGGCAAATTAGCTATAATTTGGCGCTGAAGTTGCTAGAGGGCCAGACCATTATAAATAGGGAAGCAGGTTGGTTACCACGACAGTAGAAGTGATTTGTTTCTGAAGATACGGGGAAACAACGCGATGTAACAGCCTGTGAACGTGGGATGATTGTTGGCGCTCGGAGCGAGTATCAGCAAAACAGCAGAATTCATTACATGTTCAAGAGGGGCTCATTGTTAAAGTGTTTATAGACCGGACTGTCAGCTGAAAATCTGGGTCTGAACGTGCGAATTGTGGCCGTCAGCGACTAGTCAATGTGAGGGCAGAACAGGGGAGGGGCAAGACTGGTACAAGACAACAGAAGGGCAACAGTGCCGTGTCAGATTCCTCGCATCACCTTTCATCATCTCGTGGAGTCACGAGGCGGCCAAACAAAGTCATCCCGTGGAGTTATCTCGTGGCCCAACGAAGTACTTATGGGGTGGTCATAATAATCTGGCCACTCAGTGTATATTGAATTTACATAAGTTTGTAAACTCAACACACCCATAGGATATACTCCATTATTGCAGTTACACTTTCACTTATCCCTGTGAATAGGCACTTCCTTGCGTTGCCCAATCACAGAGCCTACCAACGGAACTATAACACATCACATCAAGCAGCAGAGTAACACTAGGCAGAACAGGAACCCAGGAAATAATGTTTCCCCCCATGCTTTGATTGCATCAAAAGAACTCTAGTATGTATTCCTATGACAATGCCGTTATAAGATAGTATACGCTGGCACTGAAAAATGTGAGGTGTGCATGTGAAATGCTCATGTTACATGAGGCCTAAAGCCCTGAAGTGTCTGAGAAGTGATTGTAATACTATATCCTACCTTTAGCAAGGAACCTTTGATACAAGACAACAAAAATAACCACCGACAGAAATGTGCAGACGACAATTGACACAGTGGCTACTGTACTTCCCTGCGTTATATCCCGGGCTGCAAAAACAGAAGAATAAACTTTAGGACATTGCACAAAGACCATCTACGTTCTGATGAGTGGATACTATGCAGTCGGCACTTGAAGCAAGATTTAAAGCAGGGGTAGGCAATCTTTGCAATCCAGCTGTGGTAATACTACAAGTCCCATTAGGCGTTGCAAGAATCTGCCACAGGCATGACAGGATGTGTAGTTTCAGCAAAGAGCGTTGAGATTACCTACCCCGATTTAAAGTGCGTCTAATCCCAAGAACCAAAATTTAAAGTCAAAACAGACCATAGATATTGGGGTTACATTAATTTTCTTTTGAGCCTTTTTTATTTCATTTTCTCCTGGGGTGCAGTAACCTGTGCTAGGGTGACAACACTCACTCGCTACTACATCTAGCGTAGAGTTGTCACCAAAAGACAAAGCTACAATAACCTCCCCTCCATCACAGTTCTGCAGTCCACAAAGTCCCAGGAATTTTTTTTTAACTGAGCAAGGAAGTTTTCAACTCTAGATTTCTGGTGGGATCAGCTTTGTCTGCACTTTCAATGGTATATTTACCAGGCCATGAAAGTTTATTGCTAGAGTTTACATACACTTTAAACTGTTCTAGGAGATCTCACTCGCTGGCTAGTCAATTGAGCATCAAGCCTTGCCACTGGGCCACCAGCCTCAATTCTAGGCCTCTAACTGGTCCCACAGATTACCTGCCTCACAATTGCACTCACCCGTCAGATAAACCGTGCTGTTGCTCCTCAGCGGACGCTGTAGAGATTGGTGTCTGACTTCACAGACCAGAAAGACGCCGGTGTCGTCTTCTGAAAACGTCGCCGAGATCTGGCTGCTCGCCCTAAAGGTCCCATTTTTATCCAGAACAGGAAGCCCTGTGCAGATGTTCTCGGCCAAAACTAATTCTCGGTCTTGAATCCTCTTAAACCACGTAATTTCCAGATCTTCCGGATAAAAGCCGGCCAGGTCACACAGAAATGTCTTGGACTCCCCAAACATCAGCGACGGATTCATCGGCGAGAGCGACATCACTGGCTGTGCTGCACAGGGGGGAAAAAAACAGCATTTCTTTGTGATTATGATCAAAAATCAATCTACATTGTGATTAAGGTGCTCATTCACACAGGCACGCATGCCCATGCAGAGAGCTGCTCCCTGGAGGGACAGGTGCTGCATGTAATTGTGTGCAGTCATCTAACTCCATATGGGAGGATGCATAGAGAGGTACAGATGTCAGACCCAAAAACGCACATCTGTGGGTCAGGGTGCCCACATACTGTCAGCGACTAAGTGCATATAAATCAGTGAAAGACATTCAATAAACCTTCACTGTGTTTCCCTGGTATATGTCTAAATTACTGCAACTGATTCACTTAGTGAATTGTCGAATATCTCAGATCGACCTGTGACAGTCTCATTGTCACAGGTCAGCTAGGTCTATGAGGTGAGTGAAAAGCACCCCCCCCCTCATAGTTCTCCATTAATGTTTTGTGTACACAAAGATATACATTCTGTGCTCCCAAAGCTAAAAGGGTTTTCTGTAATTGTATAATCCATTACCCAAACCCCAGAAACGGGAAATGTAGATCAGTGTACATGAAAATGCAAAGAAACTGGCTGTAGAGTAGACATGTGCGAGTCGGTTCGGAAAGATTAGTTATTCAGAGATTAGGCTATAACCGAATCTCCAAGTGACGAATGCAAACGAAGCCGAAACTTCCGATAACGAAAATTTCGGATGAAATTCGTTGGCAGTGGGTTAAAATTTTCGGACTAATTTTCGTTTCAGCAAAGTGACAGACAAAAGGAAAAAAAAAACTAACTTTAGTCTTGAAGAAAAAAAACAACGCGAGGTTGCACTCCTTTAGGTGTGGCAGCAGGAGTGGCTTCCCCCCAAAAACCATACCAGGCCCTTAATGTCTGTAAGGAATTTTCAGTAGGAACCTCAACCCTCAAAGATGGAGAAAACGTGGGTCCTACCAGACCATAGAATCGAGCAAAGGCCTGGTAGGGGTCCCTGCACCTTACCAGGCCACGTGCCCTCGGCATTGTGATGGTGTCCCCATACCGACTGGGAAAAGGGCTTCTTCCTAACTCTGACCCAGTGGTTGTGGGGGTATGCGGGGAGGGGGGCATATTTGCTTTGGGGTACGCAGGTGCTGCCCCACTTAACGTGTAAGCCCAAAAAGATGAAAAAAAAATACAAATTAAAATTAAACAAATTTTTGCCGCTGTGCATATCTACTGAAGAGGGTATATTTAAAAAAGAAAAGCATAAAAATAAAGACCTATATGAGCAGCATTAAGTTATATAAACGCCAAATGCTACTGGGGGGATATACGTAGGGAGCAGCAACAGACCACAGGACTACGGGCTCTGGTGGGAAGGACTAAGTCAACAATATATACGAGTGGAGACAGTGATAAGCAAAAGGAAAGGATTGAGAAACAGACAATATGGACAGTCCACACGCCAGAACATAGGGAAGAGATGAGCCCCAACTTCTTGGGGAGAAGGGATAAAGTAATACATTTATACAGGTCTCTTAGACATTAATGGGCTATAAACCCTTTGGCCGTGCAGAAGTAGCCACCCTACAAGGGGATTATTTCAGAAAAGCAAGAAAATGATAAAGGTGAAAACAGGTTTGAATTTTAGATGGTGGGGGGGGAAGGTCAGCAAACCTGGCAAGATGTTTATTACACTGAACCAATTGCCATCTTAACACGAGAAATCTGGCACTAAGAATCCTTGTTTGTACCAATTTAAGTATTTCCCTCACATTGAACAACCCTGTAAAGGGCTCTGGAGGGAGGGACTGAAGTCCAGTTGGATGGGCCAAGAGGCCATTATATGAAGGACAGGGGCTTGTGATAAGAGGAATAAATTTGAGTGCACGCTTACACATAGCTATAGATTGAGACATTAAACAATCCATAGTAGTCTAAAGTGATCCTAAACTGAAGCATTCCTATACCTCTAAAAATAAAAATGACCTTATTTGTGCATCACTTGGCTGCGGGTCCTAAAATCTCTGAATTGGTGCTGACACTGTCCTTCCTTCTGGAGGGGGGCTACTTTTGCTCCCCATGGTCCCCGTGTGTTGTAAAGTAGTCACCGCTCCAAGCTCACTTGCAGGATGGACTACAATCTTATGTCTCATTTAATGTTTTAATGAAGATATTAGTCCACAACAGGAATACGCTTGGAGCGGTGACTATTTTACAACTCACAGGAAACATAGGGAACAAAAGTCACCAGCTTTAAAAAAAAATACCTTTAACCAATAAAAAGCAAACGCCTACCAAAGACACAGACCCATGAGTCGTAACACACTCACACGCACCTTGCAAGCTTGCACAGACATAAAAGAAGACAACATGCTACTGAGGGGGTATATATGGAAAACCAGCTAGAGAGGTGCCGCCCAGGAAGGGGAGGAGAGGGGAGGGATTGTGAATTCGGTTGGGGCGTGGCCATGGAAACAGGTGGGGTACTGGTGATAAGGAAAAAAAGGACTGGACTAGGAAAACACAACTAAGACTAATGAATGCAGCCTGGTCTATAAGGGAGTGTTTTCTGGTTTGGCTCATGATCCAGTCCTGTTTTTCCTTACAACCCGCACCAGCCTAATTATCTAGCCACACCCATATGAGGTCATAGC